GCTCATAGAATCTTGATTTCTTGATGAAGAAGAATAGAACACTTCTCTGATTCTATACATTCAATAATTGTAACTCATTCACAATTCATCTGGTTAACTGTACATTGTTACAGCGCTGTCGCTGGTAATATGGGATAAGGTTGATCCGCTCCGATCCCCAACCATCTATATATATCAGACTGCTTGTTCATTCTCAAATTTTAATCCCCAGTTTAGTATTCTTGTCGCAGCTATCTAATAGATAGATGAATTGAGCTTTTGTCTTCTATATCATCATATCTCTAGATTGAGCCATGACATACATGATCTCTCATTGTGCTTAGCTACAGCAATAACTTTAAAAATTATATAAAGTCTTATTATAAAATCAGTATTATCAAAGTTATAGATATCATCTTCATAAATTTCATGTTTTTGAATAACTTCATGTACCATCTCTAATCATTGTTTTATAATCTTTGAAATTTTCTACCTTGTTTATTGATAGAATATACACTGGTTATAGTGTATATATAGTTGAAAATAATATTGAATAAATCTAGATGTTTAGTTGATTTCAAAAATGATAATAAAATCAAAAGTATGTACTTGAAGTAGAATCTATATTATTTCATGTAGCAACTTTAGTTAAATTGAAAAGTCTCACTTATATTCAGTAATTGCTAAAGAAGATTTTTCTCTTCAATTTTTATCAACTTATAATCATTTGTATATATCTCTGAATATGATCTAATGTTAGCAAGTCATTTGTACAGAGTAGTTTTAAAAACTTTATATATCTTTGAAGCTTTTATCTTTAATATTTTTTTGAACTTATATAAAGCAATGATCAATTAATTATATATAAGATTTTTGTGATAAAGATATTTTGAAGAAAAAGTATAAATAAATAAAGATTAAAAATAGTTAAGTTAAATAATTAATAATTTTAAAGAGAATCTACTGCTCAATAATATCTACCACTTAGTAGTGAAGTATATTAATTAAAAATATAGAAAACTTTAAGTATATACACTATTCTATCTAATAAGAATAATTAATAAGTTTGATTAATTACAAAGTTTATATATTATAAGAATGATGATAGAAAACAAAATATATAATATTAATATAAATAATAAACATAAAAAAAATCTGAGAGTAAAATTGTGATAAAATTTTTTATATTAGCTTCTTATTCTTATATTACTTATTAAAACACTTTATAAAAAATCAATATTTTCTAAAGAATTAGTATTTTCTCAAGATTTAAAACTTTAAAATTAACATTTCTCAAAAATCAATATTTAAAATTAATATTATATTACTAATTTTTCATTTTATGAAAGATTAAAGATGAAATGTGTTGGAATGACTAAGTAACTAAATAACTTCATTGCTGTATGCAATCATACATAATCCTGACACAATTGCACGTAATCCAATCCTGACACGCAATCACACATAATCCTGACACAATTGCACATAATCCTAATTCTGACACTATTTCTTTGTGAATGATAAATATTTTTCCCAGATGAGAACCACTCTTCCAATCAAAGCTCCGATGCCTGACGTCAACAACGAAAACCTTGAAACCAGGCAAATAGCGTTGCACTCCATTGACAATTTATTGCTGCCAAGGCATCAATGAGGAGCATCTTGCTAATATGGTCATCGGAACAACGCTCCTCGATCGTGACTGGATAAAGCCACAGTGAAGGAATGAGAAAAATACTTACGGTGTACGGACTAGTTATTGGAGAAAATGCTGAGCTCTATTCCACCTCTGCACCAAGGACAAGGGGAAATCCGTCCGCGCCTCAAGAATATCACCAACATGTAAGAAACAGGCGAGGTCGGGGCAAATGAGCTTTCTTCTCTTACCCTCAACCCCAACTGGTTAAATATATGGACTCACCATTGTCAGAACAGGCCTCTGAGAGATTGTTGACTTGTATAATACGTCCATACCCCCAAAAATCGCAAGCAATTGGTTTGACACATCAATAGTGAGTCCAATAGACACTTCCAGAAATGACAGAGGAAAATGGGGTTGACAATTACGAATCGTTGAATGCTGTGATGTCAGCAATTTTCGAAGCCCTAGATTTGCATTTCAAACGTGAATGAAGGGACAAAAATTTTTTTTGGGAAATAAAAGGGGAAAGGAGATGGTGAGGGGTATAGTAATGCAAATAAGATATCGTGTTAGAATAACGGAAAGACAGAGAAGGAAATATTTACAAACTGTACCATGCTGAGACTTGAAAATGGTCGCTCACAGGATACTAGAAATTTTACAGGAGAAAGCAAAGCTATCTAAAAATGAAGGATGTGTCCGCAACAGTGGGTGTCAATTGGTCACCAATCAAGGCCTAAGTAGAACACGGTAAAAAACAAAACCCAACGAACATCATGCATATTTATCCAACAGGTCTGTTCTCTCAATAACACTTATAATATCACCAGTAATCCCATCAGTCACCGCTATTACTGACTTGATGGCCCCTTTCGCAGGGATTGGGACATCAGCATGCCCAAAGGCCTCTTCGTTCTGCTCACTAACCATCCGCTTCACGTCACCAATGGTACTGTATTGTGGAACATGGAGCCAGTCTTTTTGGTGGATAATCACTTCAGTCACATACGGGAGGTTTTGCAACGCGATATCCACATCCTTCTCCTCGGAGAGGGCACGAACTTGCTGGGGTGGGATGATTGCTGTTGGAGATAGGAGAACCCAAGATCTGGCTGCTGGAAACCTAATAGCGGCTCTTAAGACATCGATGATGCGCGTTTGTGCGAGAAGTGGAGGAGATTGTGTTGATATGCAATGAATTAGCGAGAATGGTGTTCCGACATATGATATGCAACGGTCCTGATTTGGCGATGAGGTTGGAGGAATCTGACTTGGTCGTTCAGGGAGGAGCTCCTCGGAAAACAACGAACTTGCGGGAGTTGAGCTAGAGGTTGACTCCGATAACGGTGTCGTAAATATGCATGATGCAGCGCCGATTGCGCCCCCAGGATGAAATCCTTTAAAAACTTCCGCGGGACCTCTGCCGGGTATGGTATGTAGCCTTCTGGCGGTAGCAAGAGCTAGCGCATCACCCACAGCTAGCGCCACAGTCGTGGAAGTCATTGGCGCAGGTAAACCGAAGGATATTTCTTCATGCTCGTGAACAGGGCTGGCAAGGAGAATTGAGTTGGCATTGCTGGAACAAGCTAAAAGGGGGCACAAATCGGGTTGCATGTGAGCAGTGATGGCGATTATCGACACAGTTGTTGGAAGATAGGGCTGAAGGCGAAGTAGTTCCGGCGTTTTTCCCGAAAAGGTTACTAGGAGGACAGTGTCATTCTAAACGATCGAGAAGGCCCTGTTAACCACCATCCCTAATTATGTAGAGTTTACAGGAAAAAAGGGTAGTTACTGGTTTAATCACGCCAAGATCTCCATGGAGTGCTTCGCTGGGATGTAGAAAAGTGCTTTGTACCCCCAGGCTGTTCATAGTAGCCACCACTTTCTCACCTATCTTTCCACTCTTACCAACCCCAGTGATAACAAGTTTCCCTCCAGAAATCACGGTGTCAGCTATCGTTGTAACTGCGCGTTCAATACTATCCCGGGCAAGTTTATCTGTCAAATATATCTTCTCAAGATGTGCCAAGGCAGCCCGCTCGGTGGCAATGACGTGAAGAGCTGTGGATATCGAAGAAGATAGGCCATTGGGGGGTGAAATTGGCGCGCCATCCGGGTCTGGTGAGGCCACTGGCAGAGTAGGAGCAGTGCCGTTAATTATCGGCAACTGAGTCTGAACCGGAGGGGATGGAGATGAGGTTCGTCGTCTTTTGCGCGCCAGCGGGAAAGACGTCATGTTGGACCTTTCCTCCGCAAACAATATGGAACAAAACCAAAAGGGATGCTGCAGGTCTAGTCAAAAGGAAAGAGAAAGAAGGTATGTATATTACAAATTACCATGTTAGACAACGGTGACCTGGGTAAAAATAATAAGGGAGGGGTAACCTGGCCGGGGCCGGGGAATCTGATCATAGTCTCATCTTCCTTATGCAGTGATAGTTTGGCAGCCCAAGAAGATATAATTAACGCGGCAGGATGGAGGAGAAAGCTGCAAATGGAGGGGCTCTTTATATGCTGCTGGAACAAACGAGTTGGTGGCAGGGTTGCATTCAGGATTAACAAATCATAAGGAAATCCGCAGATGCGTGCTAATTTTGCCAGTAAAAGGCTTGATCTCCCCGGAAGCCAATGTTTAATATGAGAGCTAATAACGAGTGATGCTCAAGGCGGGAAATTTTGGGGGGGGGGGGGGGGAAAGAAAAACAAAATAAGTTTTGGTCAAGGGTTTTGAAAAAACAAGAATGCTTAGTCATGTTTGATGGCTGGGCAGGGCGGGCTGCTCTGAGCCGCTCTGTACTCCTACCCCAGAATCCTTATCCGCGTTAAAATGTACAGTGGGATTGTGAGAACGGTGAATGTTATAAGAGAGAACTTGAAAGCTAAGCGGAGGTCTGCCCTTGTTGAATTTGATGATTCGACATCATCCGATATGGTTCGTCAACATGAGGGTCACCCCATGATCAACGGCCGAAATGGAGGCGGCACAAATAGTATAATTCTGGTTCTCACCAGCGATATTATGGAATATTTCCCGTGTATAATTCTTTTTATCTCCGCTGAAAGCTTACCATATTAGAAGCATGCACGCCATTTGAATGACAACTGCATTACCAAGCTTGGCATATCTAATAGTTAGTCTCAATTACTGATGCCATTCCGCTATAATTCCTCAAGCGCAGCCTAAATGATATATGGTGATATTTAACGCGCATCTCCAAGAATTATGAGGGGTAATAATTCAATATGCTCACGAAGAAAACAGAGTCCACAGAAGAAGAAAATCACCCAACTAAACCTCAGTAAAATGATACCGGTAGCGGGAAGAATAGGTTGGTTTGGTGTTTGTTCGAAATGGGCGTTGTGGGGGGGATATAGCACTTTATTCATTGATAGTACGCGTCTGTTTTGAGCTTGCCAACGGCTTCACGCCCTTATGAATTGCAGCAATTCCCAAACTGAGGTTCTCATAACCACGTCCAGGAATCATAAAGCCAGCCTTCTGAATCATCCTGCGGAATTCTTCCTGGCTTGGGAATTTCTCAATGCTTTCAACCAAGTATTGGTAGCTGGCCCGATCACCTGCCACTAACTGCCCAATCAGAGGAATTGCACTGAAGCTCCACAGCTTGTACCCTTCGTCAACTAGCCCATTTGTCACCTTGCTAAACTCCAGACATGCAAAGACACCACCAGGTTTCAAGACGCGGAATGCTTCGTTCAGGGCT